CCATTTGCATCACTAAATGGTATCTCACCCTGAACCTTAACCCATTTTGATTGTTTGATGAGTGAGGCCTCTTGTTGATGATACATTCTAGTAGCTTCCATATACCAATTGCTTTGATTGGTTAGGATTGGGGGTTTAATGGGATTATTTTGGAGTGAGATTATGTGATGAGAGAAAAGAAAAGAAGAGAGTGAAAGCAGTGAAAGAGTGAAATGAACCCAAAAAAAGGGGTGAAAGAAAAAAAATAAAAAAAGAAACATAGGATGCATGAAATATGAAGTAAAGCTCTAGAACAAAAAGAAAAAAAAATGATTATGAGATATTCTAGAAAAAAAAAAATAGAGGATGAAAGAAAAGAGAGCAATGTAATAAGAAATAGCTTCCTAAATAATGAAATGGTGAAAAAGAGTGAGTTTGGGGGTGGAAAAAATGTTTTGGGTTTGATATTTATGGTTTGGAATTGTAGATATAAAACTAAGTTCATTAAGACTCTCAATGCATATGCATATGCATTGCAATCTTAATGCAACAAAAGTTCATTAAGACTCTCATTAAGTTCATTATAACTAAGTTCATTTATGTTGTTACTCACCAACAAAAATTCATTAAGACTCTCAATGCTATGGTTGAGATGCATATGTCGAAATCTAGTTGTCATTACTATGGTGGATAATTGGTTGAGCTGCATATGTAGAAATCTAGTTGTATGATTTAGTCTGTAATTTTTATTGTTGTATTTGTATATTATTATATTGTAAAAAGTTATTACAATTTAATACAAAACTTAAATAGTTACTTTAAGAAAGAAAAAAAAAAGTAAAACATGAATAAACCAAAACTTTAAGTTAGAAAATAAAGTTACGTCATGATTGGTTAGAGTTAGTATTTTTAAAAAATCAATAAGAAATTGGGGCTTCTACTTAAAGTGGTAAAGGGTTTACAGCTGTGAGTACAACCACCTGGGTTCAAATCTCGACATTTCGGCATCGCTAGGGATAGAGGACCAATACGTGACTAATCTGGATCACTTCTGTGAGACAAGGATACCTCTGTATAATTAAAAAAAAAACTCAATAAGAAATTTTTTTTAAACCACTACATATTTTATATCAATTTTCATGTTTACTTTAACCACATTTATTCTTAATTTTAAAGCGGTAAATAAGTACTTATAATTTTAGATTACTAGTCTAGATTTGAAGGGTAAAGTTTAAAATTTTAACAGATATGTATTCAAAATAAAATTATAAAATAATTTTGAAATGAAGTATTTAATTTTGGAAAAAGGTTTGAAAATAAAATTTTTTAAAACAACTTTTGAAAATATTTATCCAAAAAATTGAATTTGAAAACATATAATACAAAAACTAGAAAAACATTACTTTCTATTTATTTAATTTTTTTACATATTTATAAAGTCAGTGTAAAATTGTTCTTTGTTTCCCTAATAAAACTTTACTAGGTGACCGGCCCGCACCCTGTGCGGGTATAAAAATATAGTATAATGCTGAGACAGGAGTATCTATTGAGTTCAAATGTGGGAGTTAGTGGAACAATTGAGAGTTTCAATGCTGAGACAAGATTTGCGCAAATCTCTAGGATGTAGTAGGGGTGGGCAAATCGTTACTTTTTCGGTTTGGTTTGTTTAGTTCGGTTTTAATATATTTTTTCAACTGAAATAAACCTTATTTAGTCTGGTTCGGTGTTGTTTATTGCCAGTTCAATTTATATTCAGTTCGGGTTTGTTTTTGGATCAGTTTAATTAGGCTCTTTGTCGCTTAATTTTTTAAAAGAAATTATGTTTTAAAACATATACACATAAAGTATGTGAACTAAATTCAATATTAAACTGAAACAAAAAATAAAAAAGTCACAAAAATTATATAAGAATAAAAAAAATAAAAGTTAACTAAAGTAAAAAAAAATTAACATCATTAGTATGTTTTTAATAAAAGTTAATTATTAAAAAACAAATGTAAGAAAAATATACAGGAGACAGTGACATTAAAAATGTGATAAAAATCTCATAGATATCACAATCCCATAGAAAACATGATAAAAATTTAAATATAATTCATAAGTAATATAAAATAAGAAGAACAATTATGAATTAAAATAATCTCATAGAAACACGAACATAATTGACAGTATATATAATTTGACAGATTCTGTAATAGAACTCAATCAATCAAGTATGTTTCAAAGCTCAAGACTTGATAAGTTTCTGCAAAGTAAATAAAATAAATTTGATGTTAACAGTAAGACTTGATTTTACATTAAGGTATTATTTAAACAAATCAATAAATATGATACCAAGTTGCGCAAGTAATCCGCAATGAAAATAAGGTAAGTTATTAATAAAAAAATTAACAAATTACAAACATGGTAAATTACACTTAAAATCGTGAAGTAAATACTATTTGGATTGAAATTATGCAACCAGTGTAATTTATTATTAAAAAATTAACTAACTGAAAAATGAAAATATTTAAAAGGTGGGTTATATGTGCTAATAATGGTTATCTTACAACATTAAGATACCTATTATATTTTCATAAATTGGTCTGCAGTAAAGATGATATCAACTTGCCCAAGCAATCCATAATCAATAGGTAAGTTATTAATACTGAATTAACTAAAGGTAAATTATTTAAACAAAACAATAAATATGATACCAAGTTTCACAAGTAATCGACAATGAAAATAAGGTAAGTTATTAATAAAAAATTAACAAATTATAAACATGGTAAATTACATTTAAAATCGTGAAGTAAATACTCTTGGGATTCAAATTATGTAACCAGTGTAATTTATTATAAAAAAATTAACTAACTGAAAATATTTAAAAGATGGGCTATATGGGATAAGGGATCCCTTATATATGATGTAAGATGGATCTTGTTCTATAATAGTGATCTTACAACATTAAGATAACTATTATATTGTCATAAATTACTCTACATTAAATATGATATCAACTTGCCCAAGTAATCCGTATTCAATATAAGATAAGTTATTAAAACCGAATTAACTAAAGGTAAATTATTTTAACAAAGCAATAAATATGATACCAAGTTGCGCAAGTAATCCGAAATGAAAATAAGATAAGTTATTAATAAAAAAAATAACAAAGTACAAAAATGGTAAATTACATTTAAAATCGTGAACTAAATACTCTTGGGATTCAAATTATGCAACCAGTGTAATTTATTATAAAAAATTAACTAATTGAAAGTATTAAAAGATGGGCTATATGCACTAATAATAGTGATCTTACAACATTAAGATAACTATTATATTGTCATAAATTACTCTACAATAAATATGATATCAACTTGCCCAAGTAATCCGTATTCAATATAAGGTAAGTTATTAAAACCGAATTAACTAACGGTAAACAAAGATACCAAGTTGCGCAAGTAATCCGCAATGAAAATAAGGTAAGTTATTAATAAAAAATTAACAAATTACAAACATGGTAAATTACATTTAAAATCGTGAAGTAAATGCTCTTCGGATTGAAATTATGCAACCAGTGTAATTTATTATAAAAAAATAACTAATTGAAAATATGGTTATATGGGCTAATAACAGTGATCTTACAACATTAAGATACCTATTATATATGGGCTTATAAGATACTTGTTAATGTTTATGACGTAAATCACTACCTAGGCAAACAAAGTGTTATTAACGCCAGATCTTTTTGTGGTCCAAAAGACTTACGGGATCACTACAGCATCAATAAGTTCAGAACAAATGAGCAGTACTGGATTTCCAGGACGAGTGAACAACTTGTATCCCGCGAGTTTGCAGTCACCTCATCTGTCCACTGTTGCCGAGAATTGTGTTATATGAGAAACAATGATTTCATTACAAAAAACAGAGTCTAAAGACAACATTACGTCAAACTAAGGTATTTGCACTTTGTTTGATACTTGAAGTTAAAATGAAAAAACTTACAAACGAAATATTACCTCAGGATCAGCTGCAATGGGTGTTAAAAATAATGTGGAACATAAGCTAAATCCTTCAAAATCTCAAAATAAACATTCACCCTTCATGTCACATTATACAAGAAAAGCAAATAAGAATTAGTAGAGTTGTGAAGCTTACCTCTTCAAGAGAACAAAATCGCAAGGGATTTGACGTCTCTGAGCTTCATGATCCGTCTGCAGAAGTTGGTTTTTGTTTTAAGACCTCTAGATTCACCTTTATATATATAAAGTGAATGTTCTCATATTAATGACGCCAATGTAATATTCTTACAATAAATAATGAAATCCTTTAAGGAAAGATATTAAATGTGTATTGTCATAAAATGATATGCATATGATATGATTTTAACTTGCGCAAGTAATCAATATTAGTAAGGTAAGTTAATAAAAATAAGTTTCCTAATTAGATACAAATTNCCTTTAAGGAAAGATATTAAATGTGTATTGTCATAAAATGATATGCATATGATATGATTTTAACTTGCGCAAGTAATCAATATTAGTAAGGTAAGTTAATAAAAATAAGTTTCCTAATTAGATACAAATTGTTAAATGTCATTAAGCAATGTAATCAATATGATATCAAGAGTAAATGGTTTACCGTATTTGTAATAAGAAAACTTATTAATACATTATTAATTAATATTCTTGTGCAATTAATATGTAATGAGGTTAGTAATTAGTGTTGTTTTCCTATTAGGTTGTCGATGATAAAAATAAATCAAAAAAAAAATTCTGAAAAAATCAACCAATAAGATTAAGAGAATTCTTCTGAAAAACTCTGTATGAGTGTCATGTGACAAATGTACTTCTCTTTTAATGTATTAGGGATGCTTATTAGATCTTTTTGAAAATATGTAGTATTTAGATAAGTAAAGATGAATAATTGTACCATGTAAGATAAAAAGTGAAATGTCCACGATAAATAAAGCTATAAGATTTTTGGGTACCCCTAAGGGGGGGGGGGGTGTTGTATATAAAGACTAAAGTCAAAATTATTTAGGAAAGGAGAAAAAGAAAATGGAGTACCTAGGGATCGATTTGAGCTGTGCGATGGGATCTCTCCGGAACGGTGAATTCCCGGAGAAAGATTGTCTTCTTCCTCTAATTTCGAAGCTTCTCGGTTACTGCCTTGTCGCTGCGTCCATCACCGTCAAGCTCCCACAGGTATCAATTCAGTTAGATCTACAAATCTCTCAAAACGTTGATTCATATCAATTTTGTATTACTGTAGATATTGAAAATCGTGCAACATAAAAGCGTACGTGGCCTTAGTGTTGTGGCATTTGAGCTCGAAGTGGTTGGTTATACAATCTCTCTTGCGTATTGCCTTCACAAAGGTCTTCCCTTTTCGGCCTTTGGTGAAATGGCTTTTCTTTTGATCCAAGGTGCGTTTCCATTAATTATTACTCTCAAAAGATCGATCCTTTATAGTTTCTATTACTAATATCCTATCATGGCAGCTTTGATCTTGGTTGCTTGTATCTATTATTACTCTCAACCTGTCCCTATGACAACTTGGGTCAGAGCACTCTTGTATCCTTTTTTCACAAAATTTCTTAGGTTTGATATCAGACTCTTCTGTGGTGATTGAATTTCCTTAATACCAAGCCCTTTATAGATATTGTGCTGTAGCTCCAACTGTGCTTGCTGGGCAGATTAATCCAACGCTTTTTGACGCTATTTATGTGAGTACAATGTCTTTGTGGCGCTTACTCTGTGTAGGATACATTTTGATGGTATATCTTTATTGTAGGCTTCACAACATGCGATCTTTCTGTTTGCAAGACTCCCTCAGATATGGAAGAACTTCCAAGTGAATATATACTAAAATAGCATTTCGCTCTATTTTGAATCTTCTGGATGTTTTCTTAGTTATGTCTGTTTATAGATAACTGTCATTGTATAGTTTAAACTTTCTTGTATATAAACAACAGATAGTTCTATAGATTATGCACAAAAGAAATCGTCTCTTATGGCTCACATTACTTTCCGTCTCTCTTTACAGAACAAAAGCACTGGAGAACTCAGTTTCTTAACTTTCTTCATGAACTTCGCTGGGTCCATTGGTAAGAGGGCTCCTTTGATGTGTGTCTCTTCTATTTTCCAATTGTATTGTAATTGTTAATAATTGTTTGTTTACCTCGCAGTGAGAGTCTTCACCAGTATCCAGGAAAATGCCCCAGTTAGCAGTATCCTTTGCAGCTAATATTTGCTTGTCATTATGCATGTTATTATGCATACCTGCACATTTTAATCATATATGGTTTTATGCTCTATAGAAATCTTTCCCTTTCCTTAACCTCTCCATAGTTCTTACGGGATTTGCTCTTGGAGTCTTCACCAACGGAACCATCCTGAGTCAGATTCTCATGTATCAGAAGGCTGCTGCAGTAAAGGAGAAGAAAACCAATTGAATGGTAGAAAGATATCCTAAATCAAATACTGGTGTTGTAGGTTTTCCAGAAAAAAGAAGAGATTAATCAATGTTGCAGTTATTGTTTTTCTTTTTAATATCCCTTTTCAAGGATGATCAGACTTTTTGTTCAGTGTATGGGTTCGACTTGATTCTGATAGTCAAGTAGCTGTTTGAAGTCTGATTGATGCTTTCTAATAGGTTTTCATGATTGCTAAACCTGGAAGTATTTGAAATGGTATAAGGTCTTAGGTCCAATAATCAATTTCAACCATGATTGTTATTGTTGAGGACTACACAATCTCCATAGTTCATATATGCATGTCCTTAACTTAAACTTTGATGACATAATAGTTTCTCTACATAGCCAAAGTATATTGTGCTTTATCACTATCAAATTTGAGTTCATCAGGTTTAGCCATTGCATGATTAAAGATTAATAGGTATTAGTTTAAAAACTTTCAATATAAATCGACCAGATTATGATTATCAATCACAAGGGATCATCACAATTTATTTACTGTGAGTGTATGCACAATTGCAAGAAATCATGAATACAAATTTCTGGTCTTGAAAGTAAAACCACACCAAATCAATCATTTTATTCTGGCAAACTTATAAAATCTACAGAATACAAATAAATACAAGGCGATTCCACCATCCTAGTTTAGGGACATTGGTCTGAGACTAAATTTGAAAGAACCAGTCACCTAAGTCTTGTATGTACAGAGAAGTTGATCATCCATCCAGCACCAATATAATTCACAAGCCAGAACCAATAAAAGCAAATCACTTTTAAGTATCGAACACATCAGCCAGACAACCATCTTCTAGGGCAACACGTTTCAGATCAGTGATAAATTGATCTCGAAGAAACCCAAAACCAAAAGTCCCATTTTCATACAACCAGACCCGTCCTTCCCCTCTAGAAAGTCCACCGCCGCCATTGCCTGCTTCTCCCGGATCGTAACTAGAGTTCATGTAGAGCATTCCAGATATAACTTGTTCATGAACTTCTCCATAAAGAGGGGTCACATGGATTCGACCATCCAATATCAGCTCTTCTTCAGCCGAAAACGGAGATCCGAAGAAAGCATGATCGGGTGTCCAGAACACAGGAGAAGTCTGCCGTGAGAGAGACATGTCCTCTATTTTTCTGCATATAATGCCTCCAACTTCATCGTATTTGACCAAATATAACTCCAGGTTCCTTCCCTCACAGAAACCCTGCCGAGTTTCAATTAATTACTTACCATCAAAAGATCATTAAATCATTGTAACTATTGTTCCTCTTTCGCAATGAAATTAAGTCAGAAACATAATGAATGATAACTGAAAGAGCCAGACCTTCCATAATCCTTGTAATGGTTTGGCAAGCGTAGGCGAGAAATCAGAAACCTTGATAAAATGTTCAGGTTCCCACTTGATCCTCGCTTGTCTCTCCTTCTCCTTCTTCCTCTTTCTCCTTCTGTCACCTCCAGGACTCGTCCTATTCGCCAACTGAGTGTACATTTCCGAAACAACATCCTCGCTCTCGTCGGAGCTAGATCCTTTACAAACCGGACTCTTCTGCTCTTCTCCGAAACATGGATTCTCCTCAACCATAATATGACCATTCCCCATAAAATTCACATCCACGGGAACGAGATTGCTTCTCTCTAATTCGCTTAGATCCACAGGGAGACCAGATCTATGATTCCCATCGAGATCAAGAAAGTTCTCCGTCCTCCCCTCCGATGAAATACCCATCACGAGAAACGGCGTTTTCCTTACCCCATACGTGTCATCGTTGATAGCCAAAACCCTAGATCCCAAGACGAAAGAGGAACCCCACTCGAAGAAAACCAGCGGCGGAGATGAATCGGCGGGATTCGCTCGGCCGCAGAGACGCCAGAATCCAATCAGATTCTCCAAACGCTTCAGAGTCCTGTAAAGGAGCTTATACGAGATTCGGCCGTTTCCCCATTTCTGGATCTGTGTTTGCTTCCCCCATCTACGATCGCACATGACGTGCCAGATTTTACGGTCTTCTCGGCATAGCGAGGCGAAGCGTTTCGATGTGCAGGCGAAGCTGGAGATCTCTGCCGGTGAGAGGAAGGATAAGATGCGGAGCTGGAGATCCTCGGGGATTTCGCAAAAGGGAAGTGCCATTTTTCGTCAGATTTGAGACTTTGTCGGGTAGAATGTGAAGATGAATAGAAGAGAAGTTTGGGATAATAAAGGTAATCGGAATCGTGAAATTTCTTACAAAGTTTAAGATTCTTTCAGAACCGAATATCCGCAGACAGAAGGAAGTCTGGAAGTGTGAAACTGGTTTGGTCTGGCCCGAGTTATCTTTTTGGTCGGTATTTTTTCTTTAATTGATGAAAAGCCCAATAACGGGAATAAAAGTTGGTGTTCATACAAGCTCAATTACATAGTGAAACAATTAAGGGCTCAAAAGAACTTACAACTTAGCTATGGTTGAAGCAGTAACTTTTGAGCAGGAAAAGAAACATGAAATAATTTAGATTTTATATTTTTTTAAAGAATTGAGTTTTATATTGTCAAATTTTCAAATTAAACAATTAAATCCGTTGAGATTTTGGTAAGTGAACAACAAAATATTTGTTAACATCAGTTACAATTTTGAATTCTACCTGAAAACCAAGAATTTCCCTGTTTTTCTTTTACTTTTTTTTTTTATGAAAAAATGATTGTTTTTGGTGAAAAGAAGCTGAAAGGAGGTCTTGTTTGGGAGAAAAAAATAATAATTTATTATCAATTAAAGTTATAACTACTCATTCCATTTACATCTCTACAACCAAACGTTTCTTTATCAAAGTTATATACACAACATTAGTTATATAAATATACATACATGTACTTATAGAAAAAAAATTGGGCAAATCTTTCAAATAGACCTTTTTAAGTTTTTATTACATAAATAGATTTCTAAAGCAAAATGACCAAAATAGCATTTTTATTTTTAAATTTTTAAAAATTTGAAATCCTATGCCCAAAACTCCACTCCTCAACTCTAAACAAAAAAGTTTAGGATTAGTTAACCCAAAAGGTATAATTATATATTTACTTATTTTTAACATCTAATTTTAATTTTTGTCATTTTTATTTTTAAGGTATATATTTATGACAAAAAATTTTTTAGGTCTATGTGAGGGATAAAACTCACATCCTGATTTTAGGTTAGGTTTAGACTGGAGAGAAGACAACGTGGGCTGAATCCCGTTAGAACTTAGAGAATGAATTATGATTGTATTGATGTTTTTGGTAAAGAGATGATTACAAAGATGATTCTGAAGATTACAAGGACTTATGAGAATGTTTTGTGAACTAAAATATGTGTAAATGGTAGAAAGAATGAATCAAGAGAGAATCCCCTTCTTCTTCTTCATCTTGCTTCTCTTTAAATAGCCTCAAGCCACGTTTGACTGATCCTAACCAACCTCCGAGATTTGCTCCGTGAGTTGGGGGATTCTCAACAGCCTTCTTTTGACCGGATCCTGCACAACCAACCTGAGCTACTCCCATTAGCTCTTTGCAAATGAGGTCCGGAGCTCTCTTCCGTGACCTGTTTTGTTGACGTCCCTTCCTTAGCAAACAGCCTCCGGCTTCTTTTTAACTCTTTTCTCAAAAGATTAATTGCCAATGGGCTTACAGTGGCCCATTTTCAACTCTTATCGCTCGAGCCCATTAGTCTCAGCTAGCGGGCCATATTTGGGCCCAACAGTTTCCCCCAGCTTTCGAGATGAGACCTCTTTTCTCGAAAGCTAAAGCTCAACCGCCTGATCTCTATCTCTTTGTTGAGATAGCGATTATGTCTTCGTGTTCCCAAGACTTCTGCCCAATGGGCTTTCTTTTTATCTTTGTTAAGACTTGTGGCCTGAGGAGGCCTTTAAACCTTTGCTTTGTTAAGATCTTCGAACTTAAGTAGCCTGTGGAGGCTTTTAAATTCTTGTTTCGTTTTATTCTGCCTTCGACTTATAAAGATTTTAATTTGATCTTGACTGGGATCAAAAATTTTCGCTAAGGGTTTCGTCGATGTTTTGATGAATTCCTTAGTACGGACTCGATCGTCTAAGTTGAAGTCTTGACTTCCTTGAACGAAGGATTCTGGGTCCTGTTAGTAACAGGTCCCTAGTCGTTAGACATGAGGTCTATGAAACTTTCGGGTGAAGGTCGGGGAGCCTGTTGATAACAGGTCCCGTAGCCTTTTAGCGAGAGGTCCCGAGAATGGGTTTCTGGGACCTGAATTTACTTGCGATTTCTTTTAGATCTCGAACGCTGCTAAGGGTTTTGCGACCTTAGGTTGAGGTTTTTGAGAACCTGAAATTTTTTTTTTTTTTTTTTTGTTGAAGGACTTTTAAGACCTTGAGTTTTGTTAAGGTTTTAAGACCTTAGATTGAGGTTCTTTGGGAACCTGGAATTGTTTTCGAAGGATTTTAAGACCTTGAGTTTTGTTAAGGGTTTTAAGACCTTAGAATGAGGTTCTTTGGGAACCTGGAATTGTTTTCGAAGGATTTTAAGATTTTGAGTTTTGTTAAGGGTTTTAAGACCTTAGAATGAGGTTCTTTGGGTACCTAGAATTGCTTGTTTAAAGGATTTTAAGACCTTTGAGGTTACTAAGGATTTTAAGACCTTAGGTTTAGGTTTGTGGAAACCTGAATTAGCTTGTTTAAAGGATTATAAGACCTTTGAGGTTACTAAGGATTATAAGACCTTTGAGGTTACTAAGGATTTTAAGACCTTAGGTTTAGGTTTCTGGAAACCTGAATTAGCTTGTTTAAAGGATTTTAATACCTTTGAGGTTACTAAGGATTTTAAGACCTTAGGTTTAGGTTTGTGGAAACCTGAATTAGTCTGAAGGATTTTAAGACCTTAGGTTCAGGTTCATAGAGACCTGAATTCGTTCGAAGGATTTTAAGACCTTAGGTTCAAGTTCACGGAGACCTGAATTGGTTTGAAAGATTTTAATACCTTAGGTCCAGGTTCGTAGGGACCTCGATTCGTTTGAAGGATTTTAAGACCTTAGGTCCAGGTTCGTAGAGACCTGGATTTGTTTGAAGGATTTTAAGACCTTAGGTCCAAGTTCGTAGGGACCTGGATTTTTTTGACTTCGAAGTGTAAACTCGAGTCATGTATTGTAACGTTTTAAGTGTGGGATTCATGTGATCTTTCCGGAATCAGATCGCGGATCTTGTTAACAGCTGACCTTGTGACCTTAGAGGTCACAGTGATTTTGATTGTGATTGGTCGTGAGATTTTCAGGAATGAGTTCCTGGATTTTCGAGATTGGATTAAGATCTTAAGTGATCTAAATTCTTTCCAAAGAGCTTTTAAGGCCATTAAGGGTAGATTCACGTAAATCTGGATTCGTTCGTAAGTTTTCAAGACTTCTGAATGTACTAAGGATTTTAAGTCCTTAGGTTCAGGTTCGTAGGGACCTGAATTCGTTTGAGGGATTTTAAGACCTCAGGTCCAGGTGCACAGGGACCTAGATTTGTTTGAAGGATTTTAAGACCTTAGGTCCAGGTTCGTAGGGACCTGGATTTGTTTGAAGGAAACTCAAAATGTTTACATGTAATCGCTTCATTGATAACTTTTATAGAATACATCGCGTTGTAGCAATCATACGGTTGCTGTCTCGGCTATGTGTTTTTAAACATATGTCCCCTTTGGCTATGGTGAAAAGAATGCTGAAATAAGGTTGGGGCTGCACTCATGACAGAGTTGCCTACGTACCCAGTCAAGGGATCAAGCCTAACGTAGTTCAGGGAGTTTAGGTACCTAATGATAGTATCTCTTGAGATTCATGGCGTTCCATGATCGGATTTCAGGTACCCAGGTTCGTACCATGTGGATGATCCAAAAGGGACCTTTCCAGTTGGTTCCTAATTTCCCAGCGCGCGGCTCTTTGGTATGATTGAAAACTTTTCTAAGTACTAGGTCACCTGCAATGGATTGTCGGGACCTGACTTTTGAGTTGTAATGTCGGGCCATTGCTTGTTGGTAGTTTTGAATGCAAAGCAAGGCTTGGTTTTGTCGTTCCTCGATTAAATTGAGGTTATCTAATAGGAGCTGATCATTGGCTTTGGGGTTAAATGTGCAGAGTTCCCGGCGGAGGCTCCCGGTGATGGTTTCGGCTGGGACGACAGCCTCCATCCCGTAGGCTAAGGAGAAAGGAGTTTCCTCCGTAGCCTTTCGTGGGGTGGTTCGGCATGCCCAAAGCACCTCAGGTAGTCTTTCAAACCAAGAACTTTTACTGATTCCGAGACATTTTTTGAGGTTTGCTAATATCGACTTGTTAGCAGCCTCCTCCTGACTGTTTCTCTGAGGGTATCGAGGTGTCGACATAGTGAGACGAATTTTCCACTTGTCGAAAAATGCTTTGAAGTCATTAGATATGAATTGAGCCGTTCTTGGTTACGATTTCGCATGGGACGCCGTGATGGCAGATGATGTCTCTCCGTACGAGTTGTTCGGTTTCGACTTTAATTACCTGCTGGAGAGCTTCAGCTTCTATCCATTTGGTGAAGTAGTCTGTTAGGACTAAAAGGAAGCATAGCTTTTGCTTTCCTCTTTCTGATTTTACTAGCGGTCCTATGATATCCATGGACCATCTCATGAACGGGTATGGGGCGGATATCGAGGATAGTTTTTCCGTAGGCTGATGTCTAATTGGTGCATGCCTCTGGCATTTTTCGCATGAAGATGAGTAGACCTCACAATCAGCGATAATGGTAGGCCAGAAATAGCCCTGTCTTTTGATTCGGATAGCTAAGGCTCTTCCATCGACGTGGTTTCTACAGGTGCCCTCGTGCATTTGCTTCATGAGTTTGATAGCATCGAGGCCATGGACGCGTCTTAGGTAAGGTCCTGACACGTTTCGTTTATAAAGGGTGGATTCCATTATGCAGTGTTTTGTGCTTAACGCTTTGAGTTTTCGAGCTTCCCATTTTGGGGGGGGGGGCCTTACCCTCCGAGATATACTGCATAGTTGGTATTCTCCAGTCTTCTCTTCCTATGATTTTGTCATGAAGAGATAACAGAGGTTCCTGTTCGGGCTCAGTTTCCTGAGTGTTATTGTGGCCAGAGGTCGTTCCCCCGGAAATATTCCTTGGGTTAGGCTCAAGGGAGTCTAAATTCCGTGGAATATCTTCAGGTCTGTGTCGTGCCCCCGGAGGTACCTCCAATGTCAGAGGGAGTGGCTGTTGTATAAACATGCGAGTCTGTGGGAACCGAGATTCACACTTGTCGATTTCCGTTAAATAAGGAAACTTAGGAAAACCCTAATTTTCCAGAGGAACCGGATCTCTGCGAAAGCCAACGGCAAGTAACCAAATAAA